CCAATGCAATACCTCCTTTAAATTGCACTTTTCTTTAATGTTAAATGAATGGCATTAAGCATGTCTAAATTGCAAGTTTTTTTTTTTTAATTATGAGACGGTCAATTATCAGTTTCTGAATTTGTAAAGCATTTGATAATGCTTTTTCTCTTTGCTCCTCTAACAATCCTGGAACATTTGGAAATATCAGGACATTTCAAGTGGGTTTTCCATCCCTGGAAAAATCTGGGGAATTAATAAAATATATTTCTAGTTAGTTCTGAGTTTTTTTTTGTTTTGTTTATTTGGCTAGGAATGACAAGTTTTGTCATAATTCATGAACGCTTTTGAATACAGACCTAAGGTTGGTCTCCATCAGGGGGCGCCAATTTAGGATTCAAAAAATGCATGTTCTTTTTTGTTGTTCTTCTTTTGTTCCTGTATCAAGAAATAGTAAGGACGTTATCTCCAATGCAATACCTCCTTTAAATTGCACTTTTCTTTAATGTTAAATGAATGGCATTAAGCATGTCTAAATTGCAAGTTTTTTTTTTTTAATTATGAGACGGTCAATTATCAGTTTCTGAATTTGTAAAGCATTTGATAATGCTTTTTCTCTTTGCTCCTCTAACAATCCTGGAACATTTGGAAATATCAGGACATTTCAAGTGGGTTTTCCATCCCTGGAAAAATCTGGGGAATTAATAAAATATATTTCTAGTTAGTTCTGAGTTTTTTTTTGTTTTGTTTATTTGGCTAGGAATGACAAGTTTTGTCATAATTCATGAACGCTTTTGAATACAGACCTAAGGTTGGTCTCATTTCAAAAAATGAAAGGGGAAAAAAGTTCAAATTTACTGTAAAGAAAATGTACTGTACTATTTTTATTTTATATAAAATAAATATTTTACAAAACAGGTTTTAATCCAAATTTGGCGTAAAATTAAATCCATATGTCTAAAGTTGTGTTCCAAATTTGAAGTTGATATTAAAAAAAATTTAGGTTACTATGCAATTTTGTTTAGGTGTTATACAAAAATTGGCCACCGGGTGAAACCCAAACCCCATTTAATTTTTTGATGCATTTTTCTGTCACAAACCACATACCATCAAATATGGAATCTTGAGACTCAGACCTTTCCGACGATATGTATTTTGTCAAGATTCTAAATAGTGTTGATTCCAAAACACCGTAATAAATTTTGTAATATGACACCCCGCACTAAGGGGGAGGAGCCCGCTAAAATATTTTAAAGTACCATTTCCATGGTAACGCAATGTCTGATATCAAAACGGTTTCCAGAGGATGAATTTTGAGGTTTTAAGCTATCAAATGATGTACAATTTATGATGATTACTAAAACACGTGATGGGGGGGGGGGGGGAACAAATCGGATTTTTGTGACAAAGGTCAGAGCTCCTATTATGGTGTATATGTTTTGAGGTGCACTCTTGTCATAAATTACAACTAACTAACAGCAAACAGTGGTAAAATATCTATTTAGGAATCTTAGACCTTTCCAACAATATATAGTTTGTCATGATTAGATCAGGATTTAATAGTAATATATTGAAGTAAACTTGGCAGGACGGTGATAGTTAAGGGGTTAAGTCCCTTAACCAGTCACACAGATGACTAGAAAAACCATGAAAATCATTAGTCAGAAAATGTGGAAAAAGGGTTAAATACTAACTAAACTTAAGCATTTAGTCAAGTCAAATTTATTTGTGTAGTGCTTTTCACAATACACATTATTTTGCAGCTTGACAGAAAATCATGATGTTAATGTTTGTAATATCTTAATATCGTCATGCCTTATAGTCACATTCAGCAGATTAGTGCTGGGCGATAATATAGTTTAAATGTTTCTGATGATACAAGCAATCAAGCAGTTTTACTATTTGCTATATTGCATATAATTTAGTATGTATCACTGTACATGAGTATACTGTATGTATGTGGCTCAAGTAGGACATACTTGTATACAGACTTTATATAAAGAACTGCTTGATAACATTTTGTGACAATAAGCTTTATATAATGTGACGAGTCCCATGGCATCTAAAGTCTTTTAATCTTTTTTGTAGATCTGTAATTGGTTCATAAACGCCCGCCGGAGGCTCCTGCCGGACCTGCTCAGGAAAGACGGCAAAGACCCCACTCAGTTTACAATGTCACGGCGCACTAGCAAACCAGACAGATCCGCCTCCCCGGAATGCCCCGCCTCTTCGACACGCCCCTCTGTCATCTGCCCCGCCCCCACATTGGACTTGAGGGTGTTGGGTAACACTGCGACGGCAATTTTGGCCGGAGCCGGTTGCTTGCCATCATCAGGAAACCAAGATGGCATTCAGGCTCTGATGCAGCTGGACACTCTAGGTCTGCTGAGATGGGAAGGCCTAACTGGAGACCAGTACCTGACGACCATCCCGCTTGCTTCTACCTCTGTCCCAACCCTGGGAGCGGTGAGCCCCACTGGGGTCCTGTTCAACACGCCTCCGCCTACCCCACCGGAGCTTTGCCCTCAAGATTTCAGCGATCTGAAGCTTCTGGTGGACGCGGCCCTGCAGCGAGCGGCCGAGCAAGAAATCAGTCAGCAGAAAGAACAAACGATGCAGCAGCAACCAAACGGACATACAGACGAAAGTTCAAGAGCGATCGCCCAGAATGGCAATTCGGAGGCACCTTCAAGGTACGAATCCGATGCTGCACCGAGCTTGATGGAGAACGCAGTATTGCCAGTGTCGGTTCCCGTCACGAGCCATGCTTTTCCAGGCCTTCCCGTCGATCTAAGCACCAATGCGGAATCTGGAAGCTTTGCGTCTTCTGGGATGTGGAGCGTCCGACAACCCGGTCCTCCTGCGAATGTGGTATCGCACACATGGGTTTCACAGTACACGCATAATACAGTCACGGAAGCGGTTAACTAAATGCTCCAGCAGACCAACTCACTTTAGACTCTTTTTGTTTGCTTATTTTTGTTGGAAAACTCTTGAGCAGATGAAACCTGCCTCCCCAAATGGTTGTCATGGATGTCACTTCAGGGGATTCAGGAGTGAAGATTCTCTACACCACAATGTATTTTTTAAGACATTTTAAAAACATTTTGTACCTTTTTAACTACATGAAGTTTATGGGCATGCATAAATTGCTCTTCAAAAAGTAATCCAGCATTTCAGACTCTGGGATCTTCAAGACCAGGTGGAGGTCCTTTCAGGCGGAAATATTTCCATGTGCTAACTCCAAGCCTGTGCAACTCAGGTTTACTGCCAAGAGATTTTCACTTAAATGTTTGTAAATGAAGTGGCCTTGCGTTGTTTTCGATAAAGAAGCTCCACATATAGTTGCTCTTGCCTGTTTGCATCAGTATATCCACTAGGGTTCGACGTAAATGTGTCATATAGCATGCTTTACTTATTTGAGATCTGTGAATGCAAAGACCAGCATGCATTGTTAAAAAATGATCCGAGATTAGCAACCAAAAATGCTCTCTTGGATTTAATACTTTGCTCAGAATGCCTCAAAAGTTCTACAACCTCAGCTTTGAAAGTCTTTCCCAGTAGTGTTTGGGATTTGTCATATGTCCTGCACTTTATAGTCTCGTCGTTATGCCAGGAAAAGTCTGTCTGGTCTCAGAATAAGGTCCGAGCGCTCTCTCGTGTGCCGTGACGTGCGTCTGTCAGGAAACGGATCGTACTGCAGAGATCATCCCTCACGTCTCGTGACTGTCTGAGATGCGGGAGGGAGGTCGTCTCAAAGACGGAGCCGGCATTGATATTCTTCACTTCTCATGTAACGTGATCGTAGGGCTGTAGCTTTATTTTTGCTGAAATTATTATTGTTCTGACACTATCGTTGGGTGATGTAGATGATCGGCATTAATAATTGTGTTTTACATATCTCGGTGTAGAGGGAGACATCATATGGATGTGTTAGTGAGTATGAGCAAATTTATTGGGAAGCCTGAAAGTGTTTTTGTTAGTTTTTTTACGCTAAAGGAGTTTTGTGCATTTCCAAGATGAATTTAAAGTGTGTTCGTACCTCTCTGAGATGAGCTGAAGTGCTTCTTTCTCTCTCATAATCTGTGAATGTATCTAGAGAACTAACAAATATTATTTAGAAACCCGAAAATTCTTTCCATGAGATATTCCCTCAGACTCTTTCTCTTTTTGGACACTAGAGATCTTAGATGCATTATGATTTTATGCTTGTAGTTTCAATGAAACTGAGAACATGTACAGATAGTCAGATTCATCTTTATATAACCTTTTAGTATTTTTATAAAGCGGTTCATGTTATTTCAATTGATTTTCTCACAAACATGCCATAATTCGGATTAGTTTGCTTGGGTAAGTTCTCATTTGAGGTCAGTGCAAAGGTTAGAGTTCACGTTCTGGAGTACTGTACATGGTTCTTGTTGTTTTTCAGTACATCTCAGGTTTGTTTACATTTGACCTTTCATTGTCATTTCCTTCTCTGACATCACAAAGGGAGTTTTTAATTCTATTCTATAAGGTGCATCTTTTTTTTTTTTGTGAAGCCATGTTTGAGCTGATTATGAGAAACGTACTGTCATATTGTAGCATCACAAACTGTATTACAGATCTAATTAACTAACATTTCAAAACCACTGTGATCGTTGGGTTAGGTACTGGAACAGTGATAGGTACTGGAAGTAACTATATATTTTTCATATAATATACTCTATTTTTCACCTCTTCAGAAAGGCCAATATTAATATTCCTGGAACTGCATTATTGATGTTCTTATTGCAAAAAGGGTTTTCTAGATGACAATGTGAAACATGTAAATATCATTCAGGTTTTTGTCTGGCATAGACCTGCTTTTATTGTATACATCAAATATGCGTAGCTCTCTCCTGTACGACCAAATACATGGATTTTGTTTAATATGATCGTGTGTGTGTGTATGTATAACTGAGGACAGTAAAACTGGCATCTGTGCCTTACCTGCTTCCTTAGAAAATCTTTGGACTAGTCTGTGCAATATCTGCCTTAAGATTTTATTTGATTTGATGTCCTTTTGTACAAGCATTACAGAGAAATAAAGCTTTGTTTTTCATAGATTTGTAGTAATGTTGTGGAGTAATGGAAATTGCTTTATTTTACAGAGCAAATGTCCAGAAATGAGTACTGTTGACTTATGCATGCACAGAAATGATTTTGAGAATTCACTGTAGTTTGCCACATGTAAATACACATTTTATAAGCCAGATATTCACAGGGTTTAATGGGAAAATACAAGTAGCAGTACCACCAAAAAAATCAACATATTCCAAAGTCTGCGTCTCAGAGTTATCAGGAGAATATCAGTTTGAAAAATGAAGGTGACCTTAAGGAATCTGTCGTTCTGTACTTCCATTAATGACTTCAAAATACCCATAATGTTTTTGATATCTGATCATATTGCTCCGTGAGGGGGAGATACTGATAATCCTTTTAAATACACACGTAAAAATAACCTTTTCTACAGGTTTATGGCATTTCCAATGTAGTAGTTTCATTTCGGAGTTGCACAGATTCCGAACTCAAAGACGTCCAGCCGCAGCTGCAGAGTACATTGCTTTATACTGTAGTCCCCCATAAAAACACAAAATACACGCTGCACAGATTGTTAGCAATGCAACCTGGTTGTATCGAATGCATTTAGAGAAAAAAAAGACTTCTTTTATAGACCATGGAATATTTGTGACACGAAATGTGTTTTTCTTTGACTTCTAGATGCTGATCGTGTGTTTGTAATGCGCTGTGCAGCTGCGGCTGATGCTCTCTGATCGTCTACATGTCGTCTTTATCTTTGGCCCCGTGTTTGAGAATCCGGGTGAATTCGCCGTAGTTAAAGTTGCCCTTTTTGTCAATGGGAGCCTCTCTGAAGAGCTCGTCCACATCTTCATCTGTGAAACGATCTCCCATGGTGGTCAGCAGCTCTCGCAGGTGGTCTTCATGAATTAAACCTGTGCAGACGATTTGTTTAATGCGTAGATCAAGAGGTATGAGATGTGAACTGCCTCTGAATATTGGGGCATCACTTCTGAATTTTGAGAGAATCATTTCCATATCTTTTATTTGCTAAATAAAGTTCTAAAATTCTAATGTATAACCTATATATAGTACTGATGTAGCTTAAAGGGATAGTTCACCTTCAGTTGGTCCCCATTGACTTGCATAGTGTTTTTTCCATACTATGGAAGTCAATGGGGACCAGCAACGGAAGGTGAACTATCCCTTTAAGTCTTATACTATACACTCTTCAAAATAAAGGTTCCAAAAGCGGGTTTTCACAGTGAAGAACCAGTTTTGGTTCCCCAAAGAACCTTTTAGAGAACAGTTCTTAAAAGATCCATTTCTCTTAGTGTGAAGAACATTTTAATAATCTAAAGAACCTTTTGTGGAATGAAAAGTTTCCATGGATGGTAAAGGTTCCATTGTTGCTAATAAAGAACCTTTATTTTAAGAGTGTATAAGCATCTAGAATATGTAATTAAAGGGTTATTATTTCTTATTAGTCCTGAATTTATATTTGTATTACCTTTTCATTTGATTATTTTCCGTATTTATTATTATTGTAACTTTTTACATTTTTTATTCATTTTTATTTGTGTTTATGGGTTATGTTATTTTTATATTTATTTATTCCCACGTATGTATTTCTATATTTATTTATAAAATCAAAATGTCCCATATGTCACCCCTCTACTATGGAGGCCCAAAACAGCAGAAATTAAAAATAAATGCATGTATCAATAAATATGGAAAGAAATGCATGTGGAATAAAATAACTATTGAAAATGAACACAAATAAATATGAATTCATTTTTATTTGTGTTTATGGGTTATGTTATTTTTATATTTATTTATTCCCACGTATGTATTTCTATATTTATTTATAAAATAAAAATTTCCCATATGTCACCCCTCTACTATGGAGGCCCAAAACAGCAGAAATTAAAAATAAATGCATGTATCAATAAATATGGAAAGAAATGCATGTGCATTGTTGCTAATAAAGAACCTTTATTTTAAGAGTGTATAAGCATCTAGAATATGTAATTAAAGGGTTATTATTTCTTATTAGTCCTGAATTTATATTTGTATTACCTTTTCATTTGATTATTTTCCGTATTTATTATTATTGTAACTTTTTACATTTTTATTCATTTTTATTTGTGTTTATGGGTTATGTTATTTTTATATTTATTTATTCCCACGTATGTATTTCTATATTTATTTATAAAATAAAAATTTCCCATATGTCACCCCTCTACTATGGAGGCCCAAAACAGCAGAAATTAAAAATAAATGCATGTATCAATAAATATGGAAAGAAATGCATGTGGAATAAAATAACTATTGAAAATGAACACAAATAAATATGAAAAAATAATAATAATAAAGTTAAATACAGAAAATAAATCTAAAATTAACAAACAATAAATAAATAGTATTTGTTTTATTTATTTTTCTATTATTACATGTATTTATTTATTTGTACTTTTGCAGGTTTGGGTCTTTATACTACTTTCTGTGATGGTCAGACTCTTGATATTGAGGCAGTTTTTGTTTTACCGGATCCTTCCTCGTCGAAGCAGGCGAAAGCGTTCCTGATGACGTCCTCCGGGTCGGTTCCGTTGAGCCGTTCTCCAAACATGGTGAGGAACATGGTGAAGTTGATGGGCCCTGGAGCTTCGCTCATCATGCCCTCCAGGTAATCATCAGACGGGTTCTTCCCTGAGCACAGGTAACACACACACCGAAGCAGAGGTCAGTATTTGATCCAGAAGACTATTATTATGTCAGTTCCTCTCCGTCAGACTCACCCAAAGAGGCCAGCATGTCATGGAGATCCTCTTTATCGATGAATCCGTCTCGGTTCTGGTCGATCATGTTGAAGGCCTCCTTGAACTCCTGGATCTGTGACTGGTCAAACATGGCAAACACGTTTGAAGTGGCTCTCTGTGGCCTCTTCTTAGTGGTCTTTCCCTTCGCTCGCTTGCTGGACATGATGACGGTGTTTCAGGTCTGGAAAGAGCAGATGTTGATTAATGCTTCTGCAATAACAGGGTCCACAGTACATGTGCATTGATTAAGATTGGGGATGGTGTACTTTTGTAGGCCTTGAAAGGAGTTCACAAATGTTTTGCCTGAAAAAAGGTTTGTTTTTAACACAAGCTCAAGATATGTTTTAAAAGTTTTAAAATCCATCAGTAATACACTCTTGTGATTCTTTTAAGCCTTTTACTTGTCTTGTGAAGTAGAGTAGTTATTAAGAGTTACCTGATCTTTAATAATGTTCTCAAAACATTAACAGCAAAAGAAACATTTATACATTGTTTATGGAATTTGTTTTTCTTTTAGTTTAACATTTTTTAAAATGCTACTAGTTATTTGTTTCTGAATGCTCAAGAGAACATTAAATAGTAACGTTCCCATAATTATAGAAATAAATAATAAAATGGGATATTCCCTTAATGTTGATATACATTTTTTGAAAAACTGGACATTTTGAATGTTCGCGAAACATTCAGAATTAACATTTTCATAGCTTAATGGGAATATTATCGATGATTTCTGTAATGTTGTTTTGTGTAGGTTCATCCTGTTTAATTAAAATACACAAATTGGTCCCACTTTATTTTAGGTGTTTATAGGTTTTTAAAAAATATAATAAAATAATGAATTGTTAGGTACAATGTGCCTATTGTGTTCATGTTGAATTAAAAAAAAAACACTTTTGCTGCTATCGAGGCAGGTTTGGTGCTATGTTTAGGTTTAAGGGGTAAAGGTATAGAGTCAACAGTGTAGTTATAGACGTAATTACAAGACGGTATTTTCAAATGTAAGTGTGTGTATGCACATAAGAAGTGCATTGTATCAAATGATTAATTTAAATGTAAGTACTTAATAGTTAAAGACACTTAGTCCCACAAATCAACATTTGAAGATATGGTTCAAATCTGAAAATGAACTTGATGTCCTCATGTAAATTTTGGAATATAATGCTGTGTTTAAAACTCTCTGACTGCATTATTATTGTGCTGTGTGTTTCGTGAATATGAAGCAGGACCAGTATTTATGTAACAGATTAACTAACTGCTTATTTTCAGACTGTGTGTGTGTGTGTGTGTGTGTGTGTGTGGTGTGTGTGTGTGTGTGGTGGTGTGT